CAATGAATGTACAAATGTGCTTTACACAATTGATGTATGTATGGATTGTGATAAGAGTTGTATGAGCCCCTAATAAAATGATAAAAAAATAAAAAAAGAAAGACTTATAATCTAAAAAAAAAAAAAACATGGACAAGGCATAAGGAAAGTACAAGAGATGGCGCAGTGTCTCAGAACCAGTAGAACTGTGAACTGTTTCCAGAGCCTAAAAGGCAGAACAAATTGTTTGGAAAAGGCCATGCCAGGAGCTGTGGTATTCAGTTAAGGAATCAACCAGCAGTCCAAGCACCATCAAGAAAGAAATTGGGAGAATAAATACCTCAGTCTCATTCTCTTCCCTCATTCAGATCTCATGCTGGTGCTTCTCATTAGAAGAGCAGATTGGCAAGGGAGCAGATGGGTGTGCACAGACCATACAGATTAGCTACCCAGGGCACAGAGAAGAGTGGAAAGGGTGGGATATATTCTAGAGTGACAGACAGAGGCTATTCAGGATGAACTGTCAAATGTAGGGTATCCATGCTAAGTAATGCTGAGACATGAGACATGGACCTGAAAGTATAAGGAAAACAGCTCATTTTCCCTCCTCTGAATCTCAATGGCTGATCAGGCAGAACAGAGTTGAACTAGCCTTGTAGACGAGAAGCTGGATCTGACAGTATGACTATGGTAGACTTTTCTTACCATAGGGTCCTTTCCAGAGAATGTTCAGTGAAATGAAGACCTGACCAAATAGAAACTAAAATTGGAAGTTTAGTTTTTGACTACATAGCTTGATTTCATACACACACACACCACATTAAATGTGGTCTCAGAGACATCTCCACTTCTGACCGATCAGATGAATAACCCCACTCCCCTGTAGAAATGAGTCTTCTTTCCCTTCGTAGACTTTGTGAGGGGCTGGAATGAAGTCATTCCACGAGTGAAGACTTGAGACAATATTGGAATTTGATGGTGAGAGCCTGTGTGATCACGAGGTGCCGAAGGGATCAGTGATCAGGTATCAAGGAACAAAAAAATCACATCACTGTGTGCTCACCTCCATGATACGATCATTGAAGACAATGGGTGCATAAGCAAATGTGGCGAAGAAAGTTGATGGTTCCCGGCTATCAAAAGATATAGTGTATGGGGTCTTAAAGGCTTGAAGGTAAACAAGCAGCCATCTAGCTCAGAAGCAACAAAGCCCACATGGAAGAAGCACACCAGCTTGTGCGATCACAAGGTGTCGAAGGGATCAGGTATCAGGCATCATCAGAACAAAAAATTTTATCATAGTGATAGAGGAGGTGAATGTGGAGTAGAGACCCAACGCCCATTTGTAGGCCACTGGACATCCCCTTACAGAAGGGTCTCAGGGAGGAGACGAGCCAGTCAGGGTGCAATGTAGCAACAATGAGAAATACAATCTTCCTCTAGTTCCTAAATGCTACCCCCACCCCACTATCATGATCCCAATTCTACGTTGCAAGTCTGTCTAGACCAGAGGGTGTACACTGGTACAGATAGGAACTGGAAACACTGGGAATCCAGGGCGGATGATCCCTTCAGGACCAGTGGTGTGAGCGGCAATACTGAGAGGGTAGAGGGAGGGTGGGTTGGAAAGAGGGAACCGATTACAAGGATCTACATGTGACCTCCTCCCTGAGGGATGGACAACAGAAAAGTGGATGAAGGGAGACGTTGGACAGGGCAAGATGTGACAAAATAATAATTTATAAATTATCATGGGTTCATGAGGGAGCGGGGAGTGGGTGGGTGGGGGATGAGGAGTTGATGCCAGGGGCTTAAGTGGAAAGCAAATGTTTTGAGAATGATGAGGACAATGAATGTACAAGTGTGCTTTACACTATTGATGTATGCATGGATTGTGATAAGAGTTGTATGAGCCCCTAATAAAACGATTAAAAAAAAAGAAATTTGGTGGTGAGAAGTTAAACCTCTTGCTAAGTGAGGCCTTCCTCAAAATCCAAAAGCAACTAAGACATCTGTCACCACATACTTTACTGTCTCCACTAACATGATGTTAAAACCCCACGCTCTGTCACCGTGGCACGACTAGTCTAGGAAACTCTTGCCAAGGAAGACAAATGTTGCAAACACATTTTTAAATGCTTAACTTGTCAACAAGCTGCATCAAATGACTATTGTTCAAGATTCTTTAAAATCCTTAAACTGCCACCTCATTGTGCTCCTCCAAGACAAACTATTATCCTGCAACCTAATTAAAGTACCACACTGAAAATTCAGCCCACCTTAAACTACACTCCCATACCTCAGAAATAATGCCACCTTTTTCTTCCACACCCAAAGATGCTACGAAACTCCATAAAGGTAGTACTCCCCTATCTGGATAAGTCACAACCTCAGTTTTGCTTTATCAGCAGGTTATTTCAGTTTTGTAGTCAGGAGGCCAGGAGTCAATCAGCCCTTCCCAAAAGGGTCCTCTCAAGAGACCTCAGCCAGTTCCTCACCTGACTTCCCTCTACTCCTCTTCTCAGGCACTTACTTCTGTGGGAACTTTCACTGCCTCCAGAAATCTTACCCCTATGTGCAGTAAAGAGTTACCCTCCTTGGCTCAATCTACCTCCCTAGCCATACCGGGGCCAAACATTTATGTTATGCCAAGTCTCAAGTTCAAGAATGGGCATGGATCCTGAAGGTCAAAGTTCCTTTTTGGTATCTCCCAGAGTGAGATACAGGCATGTATTTTTCTTTGTTCATTGGAACTCTTAGACCAAAAAACATTTCTCTCAAAAACAAACATTCTCCAGGGACAGCATAATTTCAACTCTTCTTGGAAAAAGAAGGCATCTCTATCATCCCATGAGTCACCAAATTTTATCATTGCTCAGTGCATCATTTGATGTCTTACTTGCTCCACAGCACAACCTAGCAAATAATACAGGAGCTATATTACACCTCAAAGGATCTTCTCTGTTCTGAGGACATTCATGGAAGAACCCCTAGTTTGAAGTGGGTAGGAATGAGGAACCAGCTGAGAAGGAACTGAGATAACACGTACATTTTTCTTCCATTAAAAAGTCAACTGGACGGGCTCCACGGTCTTTAAGAAATTTTTTAGAGGTAAAAATCATGACTTCCAAACAAATATAAGATA